TGGATGGATGGATGGATGGATGGATGGACTGAAGCTCACGCTGTGAATTGCATGGAAGTGATTTTAATCAGGCTGGTTTAGATGCATCGAAGCCCGAGGTGTGAACAAACCTTCCCCTGTTGTCAGCATGTGTGTAGATTGGTGACTTGACCAAAATGCTTGCTGGTTCCTGGGGAGCAGAGATGGCACCGGGGATGGTGGCACCTACAGCGAGATGTTCTTATGGAACAGAGAGTGGTTTTCCTCCTCCTTTGCTTTCCCCCCATAGGTATGTTAATTTGCAGTAAACTGAGGGAAACACCTATTTAAATGTTTATTGCTGACTATTCCCCTAATTAATTCAACTGACGGGGAAGCTTGAGTTTTGAAGTTGTCCCGTTCTTAGTCTGTACGGGAAGTTTGGGGGCTGAGTGGTAGTTTCTAAAAAATGCAGTAAGCAACTTAGCTAATGGGCATGCGGGGCTTTGTGGAGGTTGGGAGGTTAAACAGATGCAGAGCTCGGTAATTGCTACCAGCCTCTGGGCCCCGGCAGATGAAAGGCTCTGAGCTTGTCTGTAGCCCCCTCCAGCATCCCTCGAGTGGGACAACAGCAAAATGGAGCATTTGAGAAGAGTTTTGGAAAGGCGCTGTGGGCATCTCGGCTGTATGATGTCCCAGAGGAAAGACGGCTGGAAGCTGGAGGCTGTGGAAGATGTACGTGCAGAAGAATGGAATTATTTGCCATAGTGTGATTTAAACAGCAAAATGTGCTGGCAGTCTGCATGGTGGGTAGACCAAGGGGTGTTACCAGAGAAGGTCAGACGATTTTCACCTATGCCGAGTTGTTGATTTCAGGGCTTTGTACAGATGCAGCTAAGGACGGTCTTGCTTCTGGAACGTTCAGTTAGATAAGAGTGTTTGGGTCAGATTTATGTTAATGCCGTAAACTTGGTTGATGTCGTTTTTGCAACTGTGGCAGAAATACTGCGAAGAGGTTCTGAAACTTTTTATCACCAATTTCATCAAAGTTTCTGGTCTTGGTAGAGATCTTAGTGCATCATATTGGCACCAGGCAGCTGGGGGGGTTCTAACCCAGAATTGCATTTGAATCTTCTCTTCCTTCCCTAAAACTTCGTGTTCCCATGCTTTGCAAGGCATCATGGCGTACTTCAGGAAGAGTCAGGTACAGTCGTCAGTATTCAATGATGTGCTTGGGTAGAGCATATTCATCATGTACTTGCCAATGAAGTCGTTGCCCTTCCGGAGCAAGTTGGGTTGTTCATTTAACTCCTGGTAGTCTGGACACAGGAGGGTCATTTCAGATGGCAACGGAAGTACAGTTACTGGCCAAAGATTAAAAATGGCGAAAACCCTTCGGTTTCGCTGGGTTTTGTCGTTAGCCGAGTGCAGTATTAGGATGAGCTTATTACAGAGGGACTCTGAGTGGTTTCCACTGAGGATGGCTCAGAAGCACAGAGACACGAAGACCCATCAGTGCCAGTGGGATGTGGTAAGGCATCCCAGCCTGCCGCAACGGCTGCGGCTGGGGGGGGGGACCTGGTCCTTGGGTTAAAAAACCCAAGTTTGGCTCACCTGGCTTCAGGATGCTGCCATTGCTCTGAACGAGGGTCGTTACCCGTTTCCCTGCTATGCAGAGCCACTAACTCTGAATTGAAGGGGGGCATCTTACCCAGCTGTGTCGAGCAGGGCTTTTCCCGTGCCTTTAGGAGGCCCAGGACATCACCTCCATTATTAGGGGACACAAAGCTGTTGGCTTGCTTCTCCAAGGGAGGATTGCCATAAGTGTGGGGAAATCGTGTTTCTTGTCCTAGTGGGGTTGAAGTGTCTGATCACCACAGGGTTTCCTTCCCAGTTCTGGATAAAAGATGCCATCAAACTGAAAAGGAGCTGTTGGTGGCCGTGCTGAAAATTATTGAAACGGATGATGAGGGAGGAAGGGGCCAATCTGGCATTTTGGGGATGATTTAGACCTGCGGTGGGTGAAGTGGTCGGTGCGAGATGATGAGCATTGCCCATGTAAAAAGGGCATCCCGCCAGCATTCCACTTGCCCCGTTACCCCTCATGTCCCCTTCCCCCTGTCTCCCTCCACTTAAATTTGTATAGTTACAACTCAGGTTAAACTCTAACAAAGCCACTTAATTCAAAGTTCGTTAATGGGAAGGAGAGCCCGTTCCCCTCCAGGGTAATTTGAGCCCGAAAAGAAACAGGGCTGTAGGGCTGCGCTTGAAATCCGGTGCGTCAATAGGGTCTCTGAAGCAAAATAATGGCATCACCCCGCGTGCGAGTTAATCGGACTTGATGGCACGAAGGCAGAGGGGTCAGCAGGCCGCGGGCACGTGATATATTGTCAGGGAGCTTAATGCTGGGCATGGAGCAGGGCTGGCTCAAAGTAGAGCTCCTTGGTTGAAATCCCAGGGTGGTTTTCTGTTAACCGGTGTGGTAGGAGCAGGAACGATGGT